TGTTCTGCGATCCGTGACGTGCGTGAAGCTTCGGAACCTTGGGGCCGGCTGCAACCCAAGGGATCTTTCTCTTTTTGGAGTTTTCCTCCGAGCTCATCGTCTGCTCCATCCTAACCCATTCCGGGCTCCGGCACAACACCGAGCGTGGAGGAGCGCTGCCATTCAAGGTAATCGCTGTGCAGTACGCCTCCGGGAGATTCGCCAGCCGGGAAAGTGGGCGCCGTAGGAGGACGCGGGGTGCAGGATCTCTGGGAGGAGGACGCGGGGGGGAACGATTTGGGGGGCGCGCCCTGTCGGTTTCTGGCTGGATTGGTGATGGCTGGAGTGTATGCATGTGGATGGTTGGCTTTGGGGGAGTTCTTTCAGCACCTTCATCCAGATGCTGACATCTGTGTCTGCCTCCGGCACCCCTTCTCTGTCAGACTACGGCGGGCAGTCATGCCGACTGGGCGCGTTCCTCTGAGCTCAGAGCCGGCGCGCCATGGGGCTGCCTGCCAGTGGCACAGCCCTAAGGCGGGGGCTCGGGAAGGGCATCTTCGGGGTGCCTGGGCTCTGGGATCTCCAGCCCGGTACTATTCAGGCCCCTGGAAGAGGTTCTTTCCTGGGAAGAAACTGCTAGAGTGTGACCGGCGACATCTCGAAAGGGATGGAGATGCCCGGGTGGCACCTTTGGCGAGGCAGTGGCTCGGGTCCCGGATTCCAGTGCCGGGCGTCTGTCGCCCGCCACAGCGGTTGGCGCAGGAGGGATCGCAGCGCGCCTGGGGCTAGGGGGCGAACTGGACCGACTTTTCCTAGTTCTCTTAGCTGCTCCGACCGCAGCCGCGCCGAGATGTCGAAAGCGCAGGCGAGTTCTAACTTGCGCGCTCATTCTTTCAGCGCGGGGGAATCGGCCGAGGGCCCTGCGTGGCGCTGGCTTCCACCGTCGCGACCAGGGAGCAGGCTCGGGAGGCCGGTTCCAGGCGCGGAACCTCCTCCGCGCCCCTGCAAACTTCCCAAGACCTTCCTTCTTCACCCCCAGTTCAATAAAAACCTACCCTTAAAGGCAGACTTGCTTTCAAACTCAGGGCACCCATTATGTGTTTGGTGTGAAATGCTATCAACATTTAAAACTCTATTGTCCCCAGCGTCCCAAATCCCTGTAAATCTTCCACCAGCCTCGACTCATTTTCATCTGAAAAGCCTGTTTAGTTTGAATAGAAAAGCAATCAGGCGCCCCTCTCCCTCTAGTTGGAATGTCAATTAAAATGCAGATTTCTCAGAGCTCTTTAGCGCCCCAAGAAGAAGGACAAAACAGGATATTCCAGGCTGACAAATGAAAGAAATGCTACAATGAAGTGGGGTGGTGATGTGCACCCCAAGCTGCTCAAAGTGCCCAATGAAACAAGAGGGCAGGGGTTGTGCTTGCATGTTTGGGATTTCCTCTTCTCTAAGACACACCCTCCCCCCACCCCCCCGCCCCGCG